CACTCAGGATCATGGGAGAGTTATTAGCAGGCGACTGTCACTTTGTTGGTCTTAACAGCATTTTATATCCTGACTGTGACGGTCAAAGGTCTTAAACATGAGACATAAATGACCAAGTAACAAACATCCCTCACATTAGGAAGTAACACGCCATAATGGAATTTCATTAAAGGTTAATTTGATAGAGGGCTAAAGTGCAATGAGAAGGAAAAGCTGAGAAGTTAAAAAAACTTGATGAGAAGGAAAATGAAAAGTGTTTGGAATGACATTGGAGAGAGAGACATTTCTACTTTCTACTAAAGCCCTGATTCAAAGTGTATCCAAACTGACAGAGGAGAAATGAACCTTTATCTCTTGACCACATCCAACATGCTGTAATGAAACCGACTACTTATTAGGATCAGTTCATTGCTGGCTTTTGGTCCTCTTGTGAGCATTTGAAACAGCCTTTTCCTTTAATACATACTCTTAAGGTGACTTTGAGCTAATTAGCAGTGGTGAGAAGTAACTAAGTACAATTACTCAAGTAAATATTGTACTTTTTACTTCACAACATTTATTTGATAACTAGCTACTAGTCACAGTTTGGAATCAGATTTTAAAAAATACAATTTAATCACAAGACTTTAGTGATGGGAAAATAGGAAATTCACAAGCTACTCAGATGTAATTCAAACTATAAGCACATCTTACAACAGGTAGTTATAATTAGCTCTTCCTTTACAATTCGCATTATTAAATATGATTTGCATTATTTAATTATAATCTAATAATATTACATACATGAATGAAAATGTGCAATTCTGATAATGAGTACTTTTACTTTTGGCAGCCTACTTTATGTTTATTGATTCAAAACTTTTTGTAGACTACTTTAAATAAGAAAGCTTTTGACTTTAGAGCAGTTGTCTCCCAACCGGAAGGTTGAGGGTTCCAATCTCAGTGCCTATAGTCCATATGTTGACGTGTCCTTGGGCAAGACACTGAACCCCCGAAGTTGCCCATAATGGAGTATGCACGTATGCACGCAGCAGCCTGGGGCCCTCGGCTCCATACAAGATTTCGTTGTACCAGTTACAATAAGACAAAGCTTCTTCTTAATTCTAGTAATACCACAGTAGGCCTGCACTATGCTATTTCTTTCACCAGTTACAAATTAGTGAGATAAAAAAAAAAAACAGTTATTGCATGGTTGCACAGCTCAGTATCAAAAAAGAGGGTAGGCCTATTTAATTTTGACTCATTCACAAACAAAATAATTTACTTGTAGATGACTTTTTAAACATCTCTAAATACTAAATAAATAAAAGCTAATCTTGTTGTTTCAAAACTTTAATTTATGCAGTATCTTCTGAGTGCCATAAATAAAATTGCAGTCCTTTGATCAGGTAAACAACCGCAGCTGCATTTACGTGACCTACATATCCCATTCCACGCGCGGTAAATTTAAATGGCGTCCTTTCTTGTGTTGTGGCTGAA